GTGACGTTTCGGCTTTTATAAAGAGACCTTATTTAAGTCTCGAAGTTAAAGTTGGTTCTTAATAAAATGGAACACGGTGACGTTTCGGCTTTTATAAAGAGACCTTATTTAAGTCTCGAAGTTAAAGTTGGTTCTTAATAAAATGGAACACGACGACGTTTCGGCTTCTATACAGAAGCCTTATTTAAGACTCGAAGTTAAAGTTGACTCTTACTAATATGGACTGCTCCTGCATGTTTTTAGAACACGGTGACGTTTCGGCTTTTATAAAGAGACCTTATTTAAGTCTCGAAGTTAAAGTTGGTTCTTAATAAAATGGAACACGACGACGTTTCAGCTTTTATACAGAAGCCTTATTTAAATTTCGAAATTAAAGTTAGTTGTTACTAAAAGGCGATTCTGCGGACTTGTTTCGTGCGTGTGTGTTTGTCTGTACGTATGTCTCCAGACTGTCTTGTACGGGGGCAAGCGAAGCTATAGGAAGGTGTTCTGTAACTGAGGTTGACCCGGTTCTTTAACACTGCACACGGATGGTTTGACTCCCAGGAGGCTGTGACGTCTTTTCGTACAGAGTACTCGGTCAAGACCCGTAAGAGTCACGGCATAACACGTGCTGCTGTTGCCCACCAGTCCTACCATGGCAAGATAGGTAGGAACGGTTTTGGTAGTTTTCTCGTACCGATACGTTATATTAGTAAAGATCTCATTGTACAGGAAACTATGAACCTTGTGATTGCGTTTCCTGAAGAAGTTCGCTTCATGCTTATTTCCGTGAGCAGAATTTAGTACTGGAATGTTTGTGAGGTGCTGGCAATATTCGAGAAGGTACTGGTTTTGTAAGACTGTGTATTTTAATAAATAAGTGATTGTATGTAACCTTAGTTATGGCACGCATGATAGCTGGACATGTGTCGCTGTACTGTAAACTCGCTCACTGTACCTAATATTTGGATTATAAAAGTACGTCAAGCTTTAATGGTTTAAAACGATTAAGAACAAGAGATGTAATTTTGAGAATACTGTGTTCGATAACTTGATGTTTTAGTTTTGAAGATAAATTTAGTTAATATTCAAGATTGGTATGAATCAGTTATGAATTTTATAGAGTAAAGGAATATCAGTTTTTTTACAATTCATAATAAACATAACAGAACTTTAGATTTGTAACAATTCATATAAAACTTTGTTACAATTCTTATGAGCTTAGTAGGATTGTAGGTTTGTAACAATTCAATGTAAAACTAGTAGAACTGCAGGTTATATAACAATTCTTTTAAAACTTAGTGGGACTATATGTTTTATAGTAATTCATATAAACTCAGGAATGGAGTTTTTGTAATAGTTTATGTGAAACATAAAAACTAGTAGAACTGCAGGTTATATAACAATTCTTTTAAAACTTAGTAGGACTATATGTTTATAGTAATTCATATAAACTCAGGAATGGAGTTTTTGTAATAGTTTATGTGAAACATAAAAACTAGTAGAACTGCAGGTTTTATAACAATTCTTTTAAAACTTAGTAGGACTATATGTTCTATAGTAATTCATATAAACTCAGGAATGGAGTTTTTGTAATAGTTTATATGAAACATAAAAACTAGTAGAACTGCAGGTTATATAACAATTCTTTTAAAACTTAGTAGGACTATATGTTCTATAGTAATTCATATAAACTCAGGAATGGAGTTTTTGTAATAGTTTATGTGAAACATCAAAACTAGTAGAACTGCAGGTTATATAACAATTCTTTTAAAACTTAGTAGGACTATATGTTCTATAGTAAGTCATATAAACTCAGGAATGGAGTTTTTGTAATAGTTTATATGAAACATAAAAAATAGTAGAATTTTTAAATCATTCATATAAAATCTCAGTAGAACTGTAAGTTTTCTAAAAATTCATATAAAACTTAATAGAACTGTAAGTTCCGTAACATTGCATGTACATCTTAATAGGATTATAGGTTTCGTAGCTATTCTTATAAAACTTAGGAACGTGCGTTTTATAGCAGTTCGTGTAAACTTAGTAAAGCATAGATTTCGAAACAATTCGTGTGAGCTTATTAGGTTTTGTAACAATTCGTATAAAACTAGCAGAACTGTAAGTTTTATAACAACTCATATAAAACACAGTGGAACTGTAGGTTTTGTAATAATTCGTATAAAACTAGTAGAACTGTAGGTTTTATAACAACTCATATAAAACACAGTGGAACTGTAGGTTTTGTAATAATTCGTATAAAACTAGTAGAACTGTAGGTTTTATAACAACTCATATAAAACACAGTGGAACTGTAGGTTTTGTAACAATCCATATAAAACTCAGTAAATATGACCGTAAATTGTGCAACAGTTCATACGAAACTAGTGGGACTATATTTTTATAACACGTCATATAAAACTTTATATCAATTTGTATGAAAAAACCAGAAGTTTTGTAGGTTTTGCAGAACTCGTATAAAACTAATTGTGTTGTAAACATTTTGAAATATCTGAAATAATTTTATCGTCACTATTGTTGCCATGATTCCACTTTTGTCCAAGCAACCAAAACCAAAGTGATGATTTTAAACAAATTTGACTTAAATGTCGTTGTTAATTACTTATAACTTATTTTTGTTTTTCACATTGTTTTAGTGATTGGCATTGATTAAACGAACTTCATTGAACTAATCATAAACACTGTTGCAAAGCCTTATAACCATTTTTACGCTTTTGTCTGTGCAACAAAATAAATTCAAATACCCTTTGGAATAAAAGTGGGCTCAAAATCGCTAGTCATTTCTTTGATAATAACCAGAAATGTTGGATTAAATCAATGTTACAATGAGGCGATAGAACTCAGCTGTGACTTCCAATTGAAATGTAAACAACAGTTTATTGGATATTGTTTGTTTATATAAAATGGAATGTTGTACTTATACAGCTTTGTAAACTTAGGCCTAAAAATTATGAAATTTTTAATATTTGTTTGTTTGTAAAAACAAGTATTTCTTTGAAAAAGAAATTTAAAGGTGCGCTCTTGGGTTCACAAACAAAAACTCTTTTGGTCTCTTTTTATGAAAGTAATATTTTTATACGTCATGAAATTGCATAAAGTAGTTCGTTTAGCGCAAAGCTACACAATAGGCTATCTGCTCTCTGTCCACCGCGAGAATCGAATTATGGATTTTTAGCATTGTAAGTCCGTAAACTTACTGCTGTCCCAAGACTAGACAAGACAGTATATATATTTTATGATACAGCTTTCATCTATTTCACAATATAAAATTGTCATTATAATCCTACACATAAACTCCACCTTCAAATTAAGTCTTGATTTTTTTTCTTTTACGAATATTTAATAAATATTTAAAAAATCGCAAGATGTTTCACGATAATTTTCCAAAACGGTGAACTCAAGGACTTACAACGCTCTAATTTTCGGTG